TAATGAAAACATTATTGCCCTAACTGGTTTGGCTCAGTGGATAGAGCGTTGGCCTGCGGACTGAAGGGTCCCAGGTTGGATTCCGGTCAAGGGCATGTACCTTGGTTGTGGGCACATCCCCAGCAGGGGGTGTGCAGGAGGCAGCTGATTGATGTTTCTCTCTCATCGATGTTTCTAACTCTCTATCCCTCTCCATCTCCCTTCATCTCTGTAAAAAAATCAATAAAATACATTTAAAAAAACATTATTATAGAATGAAGGGTTGTTTTTTGTCCTCCCTGTTTTGGGGCAGTTAATGTATATTGCTTTGTACAGAATTGTGTATACATGAATAAACACAGTCCATCAACTATATATATATCTATATATATCTATATAGATATATATATATAGTCTTCAATTTTATTGGAAGAAGTAGATGAAAATTAAAAATATAAATTTAAATGCTTTTATTCTTTTATCTGTTATGTATCCATGATTTAATTATGTTTTCCAGATCTAATTGAATAAGTAGAAGTCCCTAGATGGAAATACATTTTTTTAAATGAAAACAAAACTAATTTCTCAAAGGATATTTGAGAACAAAATGACTCTAAAACTTCTTTGAAAAAATTGATAGGCATGAATAGCAAAAATGCTGCTCAGGTGAGAATAGAAATTAAAACATATTACAACACGATAAGCATTAAATTTGTGTGATACAAAACTAGAAATACAGAGAGCTAGAACAAAGTAGAAAGCCAATAAATATATATAAATATATATACTATATGTGTTCTCATTTTTGGTAAACAAAGTTTATTCAAAAGAGAGGCAGGTGTAGGGTGGGGAAGGATTATAATAAATGTTATACCAATGTTGGGAAAATTCAATTAGATCTTTACGCTACATATCAGTGCACCCCAGATGCATTAAATAATGAAACATTTCCAAATGAAATCCTGGAAAACATACTTAAATCATGGATAATAACAGAAAAAAGAATAAAATGTTTACTAGTTCCATAGCAGACTTTTAAATTATCAAAGAAATCTCACAGAAAATAGTCAAGTAAAGCAAATAAAAAGTAGATTTAAAGAATAACAAAATTATATTTAAATAGAAATCATTGGGAAAAATAGCTAAATCAAAATGAAAAAGTTATTATTAGGAGTTATAAGGTTACATGGAACACACATTCAGTTAATCAGAGAAAAAATATATGATTTATTTCCCACAATTCTGGCAGGCAATAGTGAAACTGTTCTGCTCATGTGTTAACAATGATATTAAAAACCAGCACAACCTCTTGTAAAACCCTGTAACAGTAAACACAGCCATCATAACATCCCCTCCCTCTGACCTGAGGAACATGAAGCCAGTACAGTGATCTCTACTGGACAAATAAACACATTTCCAATATCTCGTCATGACCCCTGTATCCCCCTTAGTGCCTAGAGCAGGGGTGGGCAAACTTTTTGACTAGAGGGCCACAATGGGTTCTTAAACTGGACCGGAGGGCCGGAACAAAAGCATGGATGGAGTGTTTGTGTGAACTAATATAAATTCAAAGTAAACATCATTACATAAAAGGGTACGGTCTTTTTTTTTTTAGTTTTATTCATTTCAAACGGGCTGGATCCTGCCAGCGGGCCATAGTTTGCCCACAGCTGGCCTAGAGGAACAGCAGCAGAACCTCCACCTGAGGTCCTCAGACAATAGACAGGTAGTCTGGCTGGGATCTCAATCTAGTTACATAATTCACTGGTGGGGCCACCTGTCAACTGTGTACCCTCCAATTACCCATGTTTTCTGCAGTAGGGTCTGTGTGCTCCCAAGCAGGGCTGCTACGAAAGAGCCCTACATGGTGACCGCTTGTCTGCCAGCCAAGTATGGTAACTCTATGGGCTCATAGCAGAAACAGCCTCTCACCGTGACTAATACAAGAACCACTCTCTCCAACCCACATGGCCTGGGCCCTTGGACTGCCTGCAAAAAAGCAGGAAACAGTGCTTTGATAATGATCACTGGCTGCTCACTGTGTCCTGGGTTTGGGTTGTTCACCTACTATGGTGACCTCTGACCTTCCTGGCCAGCACCAGGGCACTCAAGATGTTTCCCAAGCTCAACTTACTTTAAGACTAAAAACTACTAAGAGTAAAATACAGATAAAGAGATCGACGGATGGGTGGATGGGTGGAAGATGTGGAGATGGGTACATAGGTGAGTACTCCATCAGTTGCTTTTAGAATGTCTTTGATGGACTTTCTGTACCTCTTATAAAAGCATGATTGTCCTGGTCCATGGTATGTGCCCTTCGTTTCTGAGATAACTCCTTGCAACTGATTTCTATTTATGATTTGGCTAATACCAATAAACTACATGCTTTCCAGACCCCATCTGTCCAAATTTTTTGTCACAACAGGTATATAACCATAAAAAACTATAATTATAAACACTATCTATAATAATAAAAGTGTAATATACTAATTAGACCAGACGTCCTTCCGGACATCCTTCCGGGACAAAGCCAGGGCTACAGCCGCAGGATTGAGGCAGCCGCCATGGCTGTGAGGGAGGGATCCAGGCAGCCACCCCCAGCTGCGATGGAGGGATCCAGGCAGCTGCCCCCAGCTGTGAGGGAGGATCGAGGCAGCCATCTTGGCTGCCGCGGCTGCAAAGGCCTACTCTTGCACGAATTTCATGTATCAGGCCTCTAGTATATAATATACAAAAAAGGGCTTAACATAATATCAATGTCTGTCTTTCCCTCTCATATAAGTCAATCCAAAAGCCATTAGGCAGGGTTGAGTAAAGTGGGCATCAGCATAAAAATGGGAGGCATGTGGCATGGGGTAAGGAAGGTTTCTGCACTAAGACAAGGGTGAGTATGCCAACATGGGTGTCAAAGCCTCAGCAGGAAGAGGAGAGAACATGCATGAAGAGGAGGAAGCAGAGACAGGGTAATGGTTACATAATGGGAGCCAGGTTTGTCACTGTGAGAAAAGGGAGCTACAAATAAGAAAAAGGAGAAAACTAGAATAAACTCGAAGGTATTGGGTTGAAATTAGAGGTGCTGGTGTGAATTACTGGTTACTGATATAGTGAAAGTATTTCAACATACCAATATAAATAGAAATGTAGTTGTAAATGTTCACACACACACACACACACACACACACACACACACACACACTTTCCTTAACTCTGTTAACTGACAGGACCTGGGAGCAAGGACACTTCAGTAGCAGTGAGTACACCTAGTGCCCAGATCTTGGTTTCTAAATACCATACTCCACTAAAAGAAGCCAGGATCCTTGGAGAATTCGCTGATTCCAGGAAAATATAAGATGAACCTGAGAAGTGTTCACAATGGGACAAGCCAAAAGGACAGAGAAACCAGCTTAAAAGGAACTCCCCTTTGCCAAAACTGGGATAATTTGAGCTTTAAAATAAATAATGACAGAAATAAACCAAAAGCTACAAAATAAAATAGCAAACCATATGCCCCTGTAGATTTAAATTAATACATGAATAATAAATGGCAAATAAATGGTAAATAAATAAATAAATGGCAAAAAGAGAGAGTTATTTCTTAAAGTATAAAGCCAACTTTTTGTAAATATCTTTTTTTAAAATTTATAAAAATAAATGTTGTTTTACATTAAAAAGAGAATAAATGTAGAAGGAGGAAAATCACCATTCAACTATTAGAGTCAAAATTAAATCAGACAAAAAGGAAAACTCAATGGATTCTAAAACCAGAGGGTGAAAGTATAAGAATGAAACATTTATGATCTCAAAGTACCTTCCCAATATCCTTATTAATAAAAAAGAGAGAAAAGAGTATCTTAATGTGTACAATTCTATAATACAACATCTACATATTGCATTGTATGTTTGCTACTCAAAGTCAAATTTCTTTCCATCATCATATATTTGACCCTTTTTACTACCTCCCTCCACCCCCCTTTCCTGCTGGAAGACAACATACTGTTGTTTGTGCCTATGAGTTTCTCTTTGTTTGTTTCATTTGTTGTTTTCAGTTTTGTATCAAAAATGCAAAAAAAAGAAAGAGTAACTTCACAGTGAAGAAGCCTAGCAAGCTCCACTTTAATCAAATGCTAACGGAATGGCAACAGACACCGTGAAATGGGATGTAAGAAAAATACGGCATCATTTCTCTGATATTCCTGTCAAAATGCATGATATTAGTCATGAGAAAGCATCAGATAAATATTGCATTTATGGGGTGGAACATTCTATAACATATCTGATGTGCAGTTTTTAAAACTGTCAAAGTCATAAAAGTCAAGAAAAGACAAAGGATATCTTCTGGAACAAAGAAGCTGGAAAGACATGGCAGCCAAATGTAACTGGATGCGGGACTGATAGTGGACCCATAATGGACATTGGGGGGGCAGATGGCAAAGGAGGGCTGAGAACCAGATGGTAGAAATATCTCAGTGTCAGTTTCCTGTGAACGGCTGGACTGTAGTTACATATAAGATGTCATTGTTTAAAGGAGATATGTACTGATGTTCAGGGGTAATGGGACAGCTTATTAGCAATTTATTTTCAAGTGCTTCTAAAATAAAAAGTTCTTTGTACTATTCTCAAAACTTTTCTATAATACTTGAAATTATTTCAAAGGGGGGAAAAAGATATGATACCAGATCCTTTATGTTATAATTTTTCATTTAAAAATATAAATAAGGTAATAAAATTATTAAAAGAAGCCATTGTGTTAAGGTAATTTTTAACTTAAAACAACCTGTTAAGTCATATTTCTACTACAGCAGTAACTTCTAAGACAACTACATACATGTTCCTGTTTAATTCAACAAGACAATGGTATTATAAATAAGTCCTTTGACAAAATGAGAGAAAAACAGCATAATGAAGCAGCCTTCACTCTTTATATTCTTCTCATCAGTAAATAATTCTAAGATGCACATGTTCCCCCATTGTTTTCTAGCAAAAATATATACAAAAAACTCTGAAAACCCAAGCCCAAATACCTTGATTTAGGTGTGTGGCCTCCACGATCTGCACACCATTCACAGAGCACTGAGACCCACTTAGGGGTATCAGAGTCACCGTCCCCCCGGCATTTTCAAAGATACAGTGCTCACTCTCCAAGTCCAGACCGTGAAGAACTAAGTTGGAAAAACAGAGAAATGTTTTCTTTGGTATCTAGAACAATGATTCCCAACCTTTATTAATTTTTCCATATTGAAAAAAGTGTTTTCTTTTCCATGTAAATCCTGTGAAGTGAACATTTATATTTAGTGAGGAAGCTGAATTTCAGTTCATGGCATGAATTGATAGAACTGAACGTATCCCTTGAATGTTACCTTAAAGCAGTGGTTCTCAACCTTCCTAATGCCGCGACCCTTTAATACAGTTCCTCATGTTGTGGTGACCACCAATTTCATTGTTACAAATTGAACATAGTTAAAGCATAGTGATTAATCACAAAAACAATATGTAATTATATATGTGTTTTCCGATGGTCTTAGGCGACCCCTGTGAAAGGGTCGTTCGACCCCCAAAGGGGTCGCGACCCACAGGTTGAGAACCGCTGCCTTAAAGGGTCTGAATATCACCTGTATAAGGAAATACGTTCTGGGATGTTTATTTACTTCATCTTCAGAAAAAAAGATAACTGAGTAACTTGTCTTAACGGAACACCTCTGAGCCACTCTGTTTGATGCCGAATAAACTTTCATCGGTCAACCAAAGTTCACAGTAAAATGGAGGGAACACAGGGGCTCCAAAGCTCAAGAACTTATTGTGACCTACACATCACAGACCTTATGTCCCAGGAGCAGAAATCAAAGGTGAAGTTGGCATGAAATGGATCTTGGGAGGCCCCAGGAAGTCTCCAGGAGCTGTACTGGGATGCACACTGCCACACCCAGTGACAACCCTGAGAGAACTTGACCTCACAGACCTCTCATCGCAGAGCATGTGGCAGCTAAGGTTTCCCGAATCACACATGGCCATCCTGAGTTATTCTTGTTTAATGAATGGCAGGCATGGATGTGAAGCCTGTCAAATAACCCTACACGATTTTAGGCACAGATCTTCACCAGCCGCTCAGGACAGGCGAAGTATCTCCCATTGTTCTCCACAGAACTGCACTTCTCTGCTTACCACTCACCATCATGTAAAGCAACCTCAAAGGTCAACACATCATTTAACGATTGGAAGAAGAGACCTTATGCCTAGTTCTACTCAAAAAGTGTTGATCCTAAGGACTTCTGGGAAATGGTTTTCAGCTCTCTCAGTTTCACAGCAAACAGTAAATACACATAGGACTTTCTAGGGTTGGCTTGATTAACAGCTTACACTGGTGGAAAAGCAAGTTCATTGCCAGCAATTCTAAAAACAGCTGCGAAGATACAATCCTTCCCCGCCGACCCCACCTGGCCACCCACACATATACACACCACCATCACTGCCATGATTTCCTGAAGTTATGCTTGTAAAGCCTGGCATGTCCTCACCCTGCTCAGGCAGCATCGCTAGGAAACCCGGAGAGCCATGCCTCGGTGTATGTGTGTGCTGCATGTGTGTGTATTCTATTTCCCATTATCATCTTTGTGCAGTGTACGTGTCTATATCCTTCCCAGTAAGGGGCTTTATATCCTTTACCTGTGCCTGTTGACATATTTCCATCAATCAGTGTCCCACTGTGACAAGGGTAGAGTGATTTAAATAACTATACTCTTGAAAGCTATGACAAAGTATAGAATACATGGAGGGTGAGGAGAAAGAATTCAGTTTCATTTTATTCACTAAATGAATTCTTCTGTTTTATTAATTTGAATTTCACATTATAGAAATACACATGCTTATCTATACTGTATTTTTAAAAGATTCCCTCTTATAATTACTTCATGTCTGTCATTCAAAAGAAAGTTCTCCATTAAATGATTTTTTAAATCATTAGCACCCTGGCTGGGTGCAATTGATTGGAGCTTCACCCCATGTACCAAAAGTTCAATCCCTGGTCAGGGTATATACAGAAGGCAACCAACTGATGTTTCTTGCTCACACCAATGTTTCAAATCTATTTTTTTAAAATCCTTGGCTGAGGATTAAAAAAGAAAACTCACTGGTAAAAGAAAATTAATGAAGATTCTTACCAATATCTTGTTCTGTTGAAGCATCTTCTCTACCAACATATGTCTGACCTTCCTGGGAAGAATACACAAGTAAAATTTATTAGTAAGGACATGGGAAGCGTCTATTTCTTCATTTTTCATTTAAGCCCTAATGACCTGATAAGCAATGTCCCAGGGAAGGCCACGGCAGCCATGGCAATATCCCAGGGAAGGCCACAGCCTCAGTGCTATGAGAGTTCACGACACTGAAGGTTGTTGGGAAGATGACAGTAGAACTCCTGGGGCTTACTGTCCAACAATGGGTAGGCTCCTATCTCGGCCTGTATCATAATCTGCCCATGACAATCATCTCAGTGATGTTCCTGATCCTTGCTGGAGAGTTTCTCCTCCAGTGAAGAGGGTTTCTTTACGTCTAAAAGTTTATGGGAGCCCACAAAGCACAGTGCAATACCATTTTCATTTTAAGCCATGGATCAGAGAGAGGTTAGTAAAGTCAAGGGTACAGAGGCAACCACTGACGCGGATGTGGAAATTCTGCTCTCTTGACATGAATAGCCTGTTCAGGGCTAGGTCCAATAATGTGGTCAGGAGATACACCTTTAAAATTAAAATGATGGCCCAGAAAACATATAGCCATTCCCGGTTCCAAGTACTTGTGACTTTTCTTCCCTAGTCTCTCTGACTTTTTGTTCCTTACCTGCCTTTGCTAATTCTACACATTTAGCTTTAGAACTCCATAAAAATGGGAACTTCTAATACCACAGAACCCCAATGAACTGTGGGAAATCCCCAAAAGGACTCAAGGATTTGTTGCATATTCTTTAATGTAATAGCTCTGTTCAGGGACACAGAGTATTATAACAAACCTTGCTAGTGTGTAAAGGAAAACAAGATTAGAATGTTCCACTCAGGCAGTCTTACCTTCAAGTGATATAAGATAATTCCAGTACTCAGAAGGTCATCATCAATGCCAATCAAATGGGGCAGCTCGGAATCCAAAACAACTCCAATCCCTTCTTTCCTAAGGGCTAGAGTTTGTTCCTAAAATCAGAAGTGAAATAAAACATCGTTGAGGAAAGAGAACATCTTTTTAGGTTTTTGGTGTTTTTTGTTTTTTTTTTAGGTATTCTCTAGAGCAGCGGTCGCCAACCTTTCGGACCTCCGGGACCACCAGTGGTCTGCGGACCACCGGTTGGCAACCACTGCTCTAGAGTGTTAAACTTTATTATTTCTCATCAAAAACACAGTAAGGAAAAATGGACCTTAAACATCATGTTGCATTCTTGGCATATGATAGGCAAAGTAAACTTGAAACATAAAAGCTCAATTAAAATGAATTAAACTTATTGCCGAATCTATATAACTTATTTGAAATCTTGCCTTCTTTAGGAAAGGTTCTATAGATACCCGACTACAAAGGAATCTTTCTCCCTCTTTAAAACCTTTATTTCCTCTAATATCTAGATGTCTCCTAACTTGCTGGCTCTTCTCTCCAGTTACTATGGATAACCAGTGTATGTTCCTAAGATGAGGCCTTTCCTGTACATTAGTTGCCCCAGCACCACACACCTCTGTCTTCTGCATCATCTTCTCCTATCTATGGATCATTCCCACGTACTCACAAAGCTGCTATGGCTATTCCACCAACCACTGCCACCCCCATCACTTCCCTTGGCCCTGTATCTCTGTCCAGCTGCCACCAATTTCTCTCTTGCCCTTTAGAAAAAATCACCTACAAAGAGATCCCTACACTGTGGTTCTTCAATTCCTCCCCTCCTGCTCTCCACTGAACCCACTCCATGGAGTCTTTCATCCTTGGAAGTGTAATATCTATGGTCATCCCTTGATGATCTCTTCTTGTCTCTTGACTTTACCTGCAATCTACATGCTAATGACTCTCACATCTAAATCTCTTGGCAGACCTCTCATGCAACAGACCTGCCTACCTCAATATACCTGTGAGGATACCAAATAGGCAACTCAGACTTAATGCATTGAAAAACCCACTCTTCTTGGTGGCATCAGGGGAAAAAGTGGGGGGGACATATGTAATACTTTCAACAATAAAGATTTTATAAATAAAGAAAGAAAAACCTACCCTTGTTTCCTCCTGCCTCCCAAACCTGCACATTATCCCTTCTCAGTGAATGCCAACCTTCCTTACAGTCACTTGGACCCAAATCATGGCTCTAGTTTGTTCCTTTCTTTCTCTTAACACTACATACTTGGTATTGACTCTGTCATCAAAATATGCCCCCAATAATGTAACATGGAATGGATATGCTATAGTTATATAAAGCTACCCATATTAATCTTAGTAAATGCTAAACCAAGCTTGTTACTCTTACCTGATTTCTCTCTCAAAACTAGAGCTTACATGTTAAAAGTTTATTTTAGTATACTTCAAAATCCAGCAGTTTCATGTCCTGTGTGAACCCAAGGAGCAGCCTGATCTTCAAGGCCCTGCCCAGGCTAATGCTGACTGCCCAGACACAGGAATTCATTGATTAAAAACAAAAACAAAAACACATGACCAACTCAAGGACACTGACCATGAGAATCATATTGGGACCAGCAAGGACACTGCCTGCATGTCTGCAGCTCCTCCCCCTGATCTTTTGGTTCTGCGTTCCCTCTCCCTCCTTATAAAAAACCTCCATCTGCACTGAGATTTTAAGACTAGTTTTTGAGGACTGGGAAAAGTCCCTCATCTTCTTGAGATGCTGGCACCTGAATAAACCTCTTTCCCTTTTACCAGCACCAGTCTCATGAGTTTCGTTTTCCTTATGGCAGGCAACAGAATCCACATTTCAGAATCCGATAGCATCAAGACACCTGTACCACTCTCTTCCCAGGCCCCAACCAGAGCATCTTTTACCTGTATCATTGCAATGATCAAGGATAATACCACTCAAGCCCCAGCCATGTTTCATACTCTACTTGACAGCCAGAGGGATATTAGGGATATTAGGGCAGGCCACTCCTCTGCTAAGACCCTTTATGTAGCCTCCCATTTCACTGAGATAACAGCCCAAGTCTTTGTATCCTTCTACAAAATACTATATGATCACATGCCTTGTTAACCTCCTGCTCTCGTCTCCTGCCACTCTCCCCCTTGCTCATGCCACTCTAGGCACCCTCTGCTCCTTGCTGTCCTCAAACTTGCCAGCCTTACCCCACTTCAGGGCCTGGCCACTGCTTTTCCTTTTTTCCTTCTGCTTTTGTAGTCACTGTTGTCTTCTCACATCATCTCACATCATCTAGCCTTCTCTTTTCCTACAGCAGGGATTCTCTACCTCAGCATGATTGACACTGTGGACCAGATGAGTTTTCATTATAGAGAGATATTTTGTGTATTGTAGAATGTTTAGCAGCATCCCTAGCCTCTACCCACTAGATATCAGTAACACACACTCTTTCCCCCAAGGTTGTAAAACCAAAAATATCTCCAGACATTAGTAAATGTCTAAGGGAAAACACCAGCCCTAGTTTAGAAGAATTCCCTATATACATATATAGGCCCTCACTTCCTCAGGTCTCTGCTCAAAAGCCACCTTCCCCCATTGCCCTATACAAGAGAGTAATCATCAACCTCCCTTATTCTGAACTGTTTCTCTCCTTAGCAATTATCACTATATAATGTTATATACAAGTGTATTATATAAATACTATAAACCAGTCCCTAATTTTATGTCTGGCACATAGTAGCTCCTCAGTCAATATTTGTCAAATGAATTAATATTTAAACTCTAATAGCTCCCATTCAAACTAGAGTGAATTCAGAGAAATGCAGGAAGGAGGGTCAATGGCAGCCCCTCAGGGAGGAGACTGGCAGGCCTGTGTCTTAACATCTGAACCAAGATAAAACAAACAAACAAACAAACAAAAAAACCCAAAACCTCTAAAATCAGGCTTCTGGCAAGTCTAAGGGAAAGCAGACAAATTCCAGAAGATTGACGGTGAAAATTCCAGCCTAGAGGCTAGGCTGGGCTGTGCTGAGTTCAGGAGGAGTCACATCTAAGATCATGACACTGTGCTCTGATTGTAGGTGCACAGGGAGCAACTTCCATGCTACATACTGAGGCTCCTGATCAAAGACCCTCCTTGTGAATCTCTTCCCCACCCCCACCTCAACAATAAGACAGCATAACCAAGGCACAGCTCTGGAACGCCAACATCCAGCAATGCCTAAAACATAATCGGCACTCCCTACGTTCCTGGAATGGCTAAATGTATTTTATGTCATTTAAATATTAAAGCGATGTAAAAAATCTGCCATTCTCTAGGCGAAGGAATCAGACTTCACAACTTTGCAGACAAGGCAGCTCCTAAAAGGTTCTGGGGAAGGGTGGTGGAAACAGAGAAGTCCTTCAGGCCTCCCCATCTGCAGGCATTTGAGTCTCAAAGGTGCACACGCAGAGCTGGAGTCATGCAAGAGGGCAACGGAATGAAGTGGCAAAAAAAGAAGGTTAAAAAAAAACAAACACACAGAAAGTACCACTTGAAAGAATGCAATTTAATTTAACAACCATTATGGAGATGCAGAGAAAATGGCCAATGCATAACTTAGATTCAAGAAAAGGAAATGAAGCGTGTCACTGTTCTTCAATTACTCCTATCAGCTAGGCTCACATCCTGGGCTCAGACCTCAGGCTTCGAGGTCGGAGCTGTAGTCATCTTGATTTGCACCAAGGACCTTGCAAATCTTAGCTGAAATGAGCTCTCTAAATAAAGCAACCCCTGCTCCTAGCTCTGGGATATTGTAGAATTCTTGCTTTCCCTTCTTCCCATGCAATTCAAGTAGAAATTTAAAAGTATGTAATTTTTTTAAAAAAGTATATATCACAATGGAGAATTTAATCAGATGGCTCCATTTCATAAAACAAAGTCCTCATTGGAAGGTCTGATAGCTCAGAACTGTGACAGTACTGCATGCAGGGTAGGGAGCCCCCTGGTAATGAACTGTTCCAGGCCTCTACATCCAGGAGAAGAGTGACTGTTCTCATAAATCCAGAGACATATGTACTTTCTGCATAAAAGTGTACAATACCCCCTTCCAAAAAAAGGCAATATTTAAAACTCTAATAGCTCCCACTCACGCTAGAGAAATTGTTTTGGACTACATCCCAGTTTAATTTAATATTCGTTTTTTTAACCACTGAAAAACAATCTTTTTCCTTCCCTGAAATAAGTCTCAGAGACTTTGAAAATCATAACTTCGGAGCCATTAGGTCAAAACCATTACCTGTTCCCATCAATTCCCAACACACTCAAACACAAACACGTACCAGCATGCACTCACACACACATCCATATACGGAATGGATAAAACCTGAATTAAGAGAAAGTTTCCCAGGATTGGGGAGGGGGGGGGGCAGATGAATTTATGATTAATGCTGCCCTAAAGCTCTATGGCATTCAAGCTGCATTCACTACATGGTATTATAAAAATGTCACCTCATAAAGCTAAAAATGAGGGTTTAAATCATTGCTCAAGTGAAAAAGTGATTTCAGACAAAAATATCTATCACATATAAAATATTTATTGAGTGGCATCTACTGTGTACATAATTTATGAAACACCTCTTTGATAAGATGGGATATTTAAATAGTAGGGCTGGTGATCCCTCCCCCAACTCCAAGCAATGAAGGTGATAAAATATGTATAGCTGCACATATTTTGTATTGAAACAAGTCTTTTGGCAACCAATATTTGCATTAAAAGGAAACCATGGCCTGACTAAGAACATAGAATCAGCTTATTTTAAACATTATGTTCATTATATTTGCAAACAATATGTTCAGTGTGCTTTCCTTCAACCGCTGAATTTAAAACATGTGTCCAGGGCTGGGAGCATCACTTCTGGCAGATTCCAGTGATTCAGGTGAGCTGCAGGCAGGGCTGCCCAGCTGGGAGGGAAGAAGGCCAGCCACACATGGGCTGAGCTCACTATGAACATCCCAGGAAACCATTATATTCATTGCTAATAAGATCCAGCAGGGATTCAACCGCTTAGTCACAACCACATACTTTGTAACTA